ATATATATATAGATATATATATATATAAATTGGGATTCATTTACTTCAAAGGTAAGTCTACATATACTTATTTCGTTCAATATGTCATGTTTTACGTTAAATTTCAAGAATTGAACTATTAAATTTAAAGTTTTTAATGCATAGATTAAGTTTCTAAATTTTAAAAAAATGAAAATAATTTAGTACATCAATTCATTAATTTAAATTAACGGATAATCATAAAATCATTTTATACATTGATTTGAGTTAATGAAATGAATTATCAAATAGTTTTTAAATGTTTCTAAAATTTGCAAACTTGACTTATACTTTAAAAACTTTAAATTCAACGGTTAAATTATTGAAATTTGATGCAAAACATAAGTTATTGAACAAAATAAGTCTAAATAAACTTACTTCTAGTGTAAACAAATCTCTCATCATATATATATATATATATATATTCTCAAAAGTTTGATATGTTGATACATGCTTAATTTATGATCATATTTGTATTTCTATTTTATAGAGTTGTCTCGAGTAGATGTAAGTGGTGGTAGAAATATTAATGCTACAATTGGAGTGAAACACTTAGTACATCTCAAAGTTATGAACTTATTTTTAATTTATGAATTTATATTTTAGACTGAACTTTAAAGAGCTTCTAACATTTAGTTTTACTTGATATATCTTATTGTAAGGTAACTATCATGAATTAATTCCTTAATGGTTGAGACAAATGCACAAAGAGTGAAGACTTTGTGTTAGATACCTCGGTGAATGTTGCGAATTCGGTTTATGACTGTGCACTTGGTTCATGAATTTATGTTGATCATTTTTTTATAAATTTTGGATAATTTAGTTTATATCGGATAATTTGGTGCATGATGGACAACTTGATTTGTGAGTTGTGATTGTGTAATTGGACAATTAAGTGAATGTTGGCGGATTTGTCTTCTATTAGATAATTTGATACATGTTAAATTAATACTTTGATATGTGTAGAACATTTTGGTTAATTTTCTTTTTATTATTATAAATGAAGTAATATGAGTTAATCAATTCATGTTTTGTTTTATTTTTTATATTTTATGCTATTATTTAATTAGTAAGTCAATTACACTCAAATATGTAGTTTACATTTTTTTTATGACAATTTCATCGATCAATTTTAAGACAAAATTATGTTTTTTCTTATATTAAAAGGTTTTCTTTTCATTAGATTTCAGATAACTAAAAATTGAATTAATTCAAACATTTACTTAATGATATCAAATATAATATAAGTGAAATTAACGACTTATTGATTATATATATTATTGTTTGAATTCATAATATAACAAAAAAATATATATAAATACTTGTTTTAATTATATATTTGATTCAATTTATTTTAAACAAAATTATTTTTCTCTAACTTTTAGGAATTTTTTTAAAAAATAACTATTTCTTAAAAATAATCTCTGCCCAAACAAGTGATGATCTCGTTTTAAATAAAATGCATTTTTTTTTTGCCAATGGTGTACATTAGCACCCTAACATTGTTTAGATCAAAATTAAATAGCAACAAAATTTTGGAAGAGAAGTGGGTGGATTTTGTATGATTTCCAATAGCAAAAACTTGTTAGTGTTTTAGTTGAGCTCTCTCTAGGTACATTCAATGGTCAGCTCGCATGCACAACTTGTTTCCAAAAATCTGGTTGGGGCAGGTATCCCTCTGTGCCCTAAAAAGTTCTGCCATTGTTTATGAGTTATGAGTCTTATGACCTTGTGTAATGCCAATAATTTCCATTCTATGCATACCATAAATAAATAAATAAGAGATCAATCAAGTTTTCAAAGGTTTCAATAAATTCAAGGAGAAACAACATTGTATATTACTGCACTTTAAAAATATTTTAAAAAAATATATATGTTTTTAATTATAATTAATGTAATTTATTTTATTTTATTTTTATGATAAATATATATGTCATAGTTATTTATATTTATTAATACAAATATATATTAAAAACATTTTTTAATATAAATATATATTTAAAAATATTTAATTTAATTTCTTACCATTATATTTAAATTTTGAAATTTTAATAAATCTACAAATATTCGTACATACTTACAAATGTATACAAAAATTTATAAATAATCAATAAATAGATTCACATGTTAGACAAGACAAGTAACAGAAAATACTACTCTTCTTGTCTATATTTTTGGCATAGTCTACAATAACATTTCTCACGGTTTTTAAAAAATATATTTAAAAAATCCAGTCAAATCATAGAGATTTTCACAATAATATAAGTTGTAACTTTGAAATTTTCGTATAATTTTGTCAAAGTAATTATTTATTACCAATTGTCATTTGTTTGAATTCCACTAATGTTTGGAAGCACGTTCTAAAGCTTTCAAAATTTGAAGTCAAAAGATATACACAGTATCCTTCTCTCAAGTCTCAATGCACATTTAAGACCCAAACAAAGGAATCTAAACATAGGAATTGCAAGCTCTAGCCTTCAAGGTACGAATTGTAATTAAAAGACGGGAAAAGAAAAAGTAAAGTAATGCAAAAAGTAAAAGTTATGCAAAACTACTTTTTCTGTTTTAATATTCTTACATTTTATTTTCAACAATTTACATCTATTTATTTTATATTATTTCATTTAACCTCATTAGTCATTACATATTTTCTCCATTACATTAAATCACTTTATAAATGCTAACCGGTTAAAAAACTAAAATAAAATTCATCGAAAAACACACCAATATACTCCTTCATAATTTTCGATATTCCTCTATACCATTTTGAATAAATTTAATTTACTTATTCCTTAAGGAGACAAGACCTTAAAAAATATAATTAATTTCAACATCAAAAGTTCAAGTGATATTCTAAACAATTTTAAAATCAGTAAAAAAAATGCTTGAATTTTAGAAAGAAAAATCTAATTTCAGTGTGACTATTTAAAAAAAATTATATCTTTAAATAACATTTATAAGACCTTTGAACAAAGCCATTTAATTTCAGTGACTTGTTAAGCTAACCAAAGTCAGAGAACTAAAATAAAAATAATGATTACTATATAAAAAAATATATACCAATGAATTGATCCTCCCTCGGATACCACCTCCTCCCAATGCGAAATCATAAACAATCATAACTTGCAAGACTTTGGCAAGGAGATAGAATAAACAACTTTAAGATTCCAATTTTCACCTCTCTATGACACTAATATATTATAATAATAATAATAATAATAAAACAAATTTACAACGCAACCACGGTTCCCACTACACTTTCCAAAAATAATCATTTAAAAAAAAAAGTCCTCCACTTTCCATTTTTTTTTTAATCTATTATTATTTCTTTATTCCACCTTCTACGTTGACTCGAACACCAAACCCACCACCCCGGCTGCGTTCTCCTGCATCGCGGCCTGAACCGCGTGCCTGTGCTCCCCCTCGTACGTCACAATCAGCATCGCCGGATCGTCTGGTGCGCGCTCCACGTGTTTCCTCGCTGGACACCCTCTCACCGTGCTGCACTTGTAATAGCCCCTGATCATCAAAAAAACATCAGCGTCAGGGAGCGACTCTTTGACTAGATAAAGTCAACATAATCAACGGTCAAAACTCACCGTGGGTACGGCGACCCCTTGATCGGTTTCTGACCGTACTTCCGCCACGAGTACTCATCCGGCGGTATATCGGCGATTTTTGAACTTATCGCCGGCACCCTCACCGTTTTCTTCACCCTATTTTTCCTGAACAAAAAATTAAAAAATATAATTAATTAATTAAAAAATATAATAATAATAATAATAATAATTAGAATAAAAGAATGGTAGGCACTAGGCACTAGGCACTAGGCAAGGTATTCCTAACATGGACGCAATGAATAATATGAATAGATTAATTGGAAGGTGAGTGGTCAAAGGCAATTAAGCATAGAGAAGAGAGAAACGACAAGGGATGGATTATTGAAAGAAGGTTCAGTTTGGCAAGTTTGAATTTCTATGTCTTCTTGCTGAGACAGCAATTTCTAAAAACTCGCTTCTTGACAAAGGGGGCACCAGACACAAGCACAGGAACCCTATGTTGTTTTGTCACTATCACGCGTGGTGTACCTATTTAATGCATTTAACTGCACCACTACCGAAATCGTTGACTCCCAAACGCTGCCTTGCCCCACCCACGCCACCCAGTCACGTGATCACTTCCAATAAAATAATCATAATCTCACCGTCCCTCTCTCACTTAATATTAATATTTCCCATTTATTTCTCCTCTAAATTAAAATACCAATTTTTTCATGAAAAACTAAAATTATTATTATTAATATTATAATTAAAAATAGACTAGTCAACAACTTAGAAGAGTACTATGAAGAGTTATGACTTAAATTTGAAGCAATAAATGTTCCTCCGATCCACTAGTCAACAATTACGAAACGGTGAAACGCGGTGTGATGTGTGTGTACCTTCGCTTGACGCAGTGGCACTTGCTGCCGGAGGCGGAGACGTCGTCGGAGTGTTCGCGGTGGTCGTGGCACCGCTTCTTGAACGGCGGCGGTTTTCCGGCGGAGTTCGGAGGAGGAGGCGGCGGCGCCAGGAAGATCGACGGCGGATGCTTGCCGTTGGAGACGCTGGCGTCGCCGGTGATGGCGGAGGACATGAAGGAGGAGTTGGAGGAGACGCTGAAGGTGTCCTTGGAGAATTCGAGCTCGACGGGCTTGGCGGCGGTGGTGGCGAGGGCGTGCGGCTTGGTGAAGTCGAGCGTGACGCTGGCGGGCGGCGGGGGAGGCGCGAAGTGCGGCGGCGGAGGGGGCGGGGGAGGGAGGTGGAGCGGCGAGGGGGCGGGTTGGACCGGGGCGCGCCTGAACCGGGCGTGACCGGTCCGGTTTAGGAGGGAGATGAGTTTCTTGAACTTGGAGACGGTTACGTCGGTGAGGTGGGTGTTGAGGTGGGTGGGTTGGTGGGAGAGGGCGCGGATCAGGTGCTCCATGCCCTTGAGGCCTTCCGATGCGGCCTCTTGGATGGCCGTTTGTTCGTCCAGCTTGGGGAAGCCTGAGATGAGTTCGACGGCCATTTTGGGAGGGAGATTAGGGTTTGGGGGAGGGAAGGGAAGGGAAGGGGAGATGATGCCTCAAAGTGCCATGTGAAGGGGGGAGTGGGTTTGGAAGGGTGGAAGGGTTAGGGGGTGGGGATATATATTGGGGTAAGAGAGAGAGAGTGAGAAAGGGTCTTGGCTTGTGGTTCAGCTTTGAATTTTAGTGATTTAATATTTATTTTTTCATGAGTTGGAAAACATGATTCAGGTAATTCTATATTATTCGTGAAAAGCTTTTTAAACTGAAAGTTAATCAGAGTCGTTAATAATATTTTTTTTATTTTAATTTAATTAAATGAGCAAATGAAAAAATATTATTAACGATTTTGATTAACTGTCAGTATAAAATTTTTTTACAATGTATAGGTGATTAATTCATTTCATATTAACACAAACTCTTTATCACTTTTTTTTTTAGAAAAAAGAGAGATAAATTTATGTAAAGTTTTTTGACTTTTTTTTTAATATACTGTTTTTTTTATTTATTTATTTAAATAACCCAAAGTGAAATATATTTACCTAAATATACCACTTAGTTTTTTAGGTGAGAAATCGGTTACTGGGTAACCAATTTCTCAAAGGGATTTTTCCAAAATTTTGAAAAATCCCTTATGTTATATAAAATATGAGATATTAAGTTGAGTAAGTGGATTTCTCATCTATTTCTTTATATCTCTTTATATATACATATAAAAGAGAAGAGATTCACTTACTCCAAAAGTAAGTCTACTTAAATTTATTTTATTCAATAACTCGTATTCTATATCAAATTTTAATAATTTAATCATTGAATTGAAATTTTTTAATGCATATATCATGTTTGTAATTTTTTTTTAAAAATTTGAAAACTATTTGATACTCTGTTTCAATAATTCAAATTGATGAATAATCATAAAAATATTTTATATATTGATTTGAATTAATGAAAATGAGTATTAAGTAATTTTTAAATTTTTAAAAAATTTGCATACTTTTATAGATTAAATTTTTTTTAATTGAACGATTTGATCATTAAAATTTAATATAAAACTTAAGTTATTGAGTGAAATAAGTCTAAACACTGGTGTAACTTTTACTAAATGTTACACTGCTCAATAACTTTATATTAAATGTGAATTTTATAAATTCAGCAGTTAGATTGGAAGTTCTTTACTCTTAAATCATATATACAAAATTTTATAGTAATCCAACATGATTTGATACTTCATTTTTATAAAACAAAATTGACGTAATATATTTATTTCAAAATATACTAAAATACGAATACTTTGATTACCCTCAAGTTTGTAGAGCCCGATAGTCCACCCGTTCCTCCACCATAGTATGATATTGTCCGCTTTGGGCCCAAGCACGCACGGTTTTGTTTTTGGGCTCCTTCCCAAAAGGCCTCATACTATGTGGAATGGTGGACACTTATAAACTAGCCAATGTTCCTTCATTTTACCGATGTGGGACTTGGGATGAATCCCAACAAACCTCCCCTCAGACCAAGGACCACATGTCTCGTGATCTCCTCCCCTCAAGCGATAATCCGTCACCATCTTGTACCGCCGTTAACTCTACGGGACACGCCGCCTGAACACCACAATATCAGGAAGACTTTCGACACAAGGCACCAAGTTCGAATCTCCATCGCGAGGCACAACACTGAGGGTCTTCCCGCATCAAACCCAGACGAACCGTTGGCTCTGATACCACTTGTAGGGCCCGATAGTCCACCTGTTCCCCCACCATAGTATGATATTGTCCGCTTTGGGCCCAAGCCCGCACGGTTTTGTTTTTGGGCTCCTTCCCAAAAGGCCTCATACTATGTGGAATGGTGGACACTTATAAACTAGCCAATGTTCCTTCATTTTACCGATGTGGGACTTGGGATGAATCCCAACAAA